GCGGGCGGCCGGGGAGCAGGGGGCGGGCCGCGCGCCGGGCACGGCGGCGAGCGCCGCGTGGCGGGAGGGCTGCCGGCGCCGTCGGGAGAGGGGCGGGCCGCCTGCGGGGGCGCGGGGAGGACCTGGGGTTCCGGGGATCCCCCTCTCCCGAGGCATCAGCCCGTGCATCCGCCACCTTCCTTTCGGGAGAAGCGGCCCGGGATGTGCCGGACCTGCGAAAGGCGAGCCGCAGAGCGCCAGGACTGGCTCCCGCCCCGCGGTGCCATCTGGTCACAGAGGCCAGCCGGCTCCGCGGCCGCAGCCTCCCACCCGTGTTCCCCCGCAAGCGATCCCTGCAGGGCTGCAGGTCCTGGGAGCAGCGCGGAGTCATCGGGACGAGGGGGTACGGCAAGGCGTCTCCCCCACAGAGGCTCGCAGGCCAAAACCCAGTTGCTGCATTGCGGGTTGCAGGAGGACTGTTTGCTCCCTGCAAAGGATGAGTCGGGACACTCCTCCCAGGAGCTCCCGATGCCCCTCCCTATTTTGCATTCACACCCTTCCTTTGAGGTAGGCCAGGCAGCGGCAGATTCCTGAACACCCAGTGGGGTGGCCGAATGGGGAAGCTGGCCCAGTTTCAGCCCAACAGCTTACCACGGCCTTTCTTAACTTGATGCAGCCAAAGATTGGGCTACCTTTCTCATCACCGGTATGGGCTATGCTGGCTGGGGATGATGGGAGGTGTAGCCCAACACTACATAAGTTGAGGGAGGCTGCACCAGCTCTTATGCTGGAATCTGGGAACCCCTGAGCAGGACTCTGCACCTCTTTTTCCAGACAGGGAGGGGGTGTATCTCAACCCATTTGGCTTCTGAGAATATTGCCATACCAGAGCCCTCCCCAGCCTTTTCCCATCTGCCCCTTCTTGTCAGTGATAACTCCCCCGGAAGCGAAACAGGCGAGGGCTCGGGGATTCTCCCTGCAGGATTCCAGCATTCTTGCAAAGGAAAAGGAAAGTCGTGTAGCCCTTCCCTGAGTACCGTGGGAGCATCACCAGAGCCGAGCTGGAGGCCAAGCGATCTCTAGTCCAGCATTCAGCTCCCAGTGGGGAGCCCACAAGCAAGCCAGGAGGAGGAGAACACCCTTTCGCTGCAAGCACCCCTGGGTACTGGCGCTTGCATGAAGCCGTGATGAACAGTGGCAGTTGCAGAAACGTTACTGCGTTGTCTTGCATTCTCTGGAAGTTCCTACCTGCACGCAGAAGCCCTGGAAGGCCCCAGGTGAAATATTTGGGGAAGAGTCCAACGGAAGCAGGAAAAGGGCCTAAGGTGCCTTAGCTGGAGCTGTGTGTGGCTGCCATCTTTGGAACGGCCAGTGGTAGTAGCCTTCCTGAGAGGAGGCGGTCACATCCCTCACTTCCGTTCCCTTGATCATACTGCAAGCTTCTTTCTCAAAATTCTGGTCTGTATGCCCCAAACCACCTGCTGCAGGAGCAGTTCACGGCACTGAGACCTCCCACTTTCAGCTCAGAAATGCAACGCCTTGTTTCAAAATTTGCATTAAAAACAAAGGATCCAGTCCCGGGTCCATCTAGTACATTCCTGAAGGTCCTGGCTAGAAAGAAAGTATCCTGATGGACAGCGTTTTTCTGCTTTATGTTTGTTTTTCTGCTTTGTGTTTGTTTTGGTTGCTCGGAAGCTGCTGTGTTGTTTGGCTATACATTCAACCCCTACTTATCTCCCAGATCATGTAAGAGAAGCATCCCTCATGCTGTTGAAGCTATACAACGCTGAGTAGGCCAGTATTCATAATAAACAAGAGGGCATGGCATTTTCCTCACGAGTTGTGTGGCCAAACCAGCCTTGTCTGATTCATGGCGTAAATTGGCTGCTGTGAAAACTGATATGCCTTTAGGGAGAGGGTTTCTCTCCCCACCCCGTCCTGTATGTTCATCATTATTTTATATATTTCTGTATATAGGATTACACTTTGGTTCTTGGAGGCATCAGCCATGAGAGCTACCCCAAGATACTTTCTGCCTGTGGCAAAGGAGAAGACGGTGCCTCTTTTGTTGCAGACCTAAAATCTGACCTTATCTTGAGGCTGGCCATGAAGAGGATCTTCCACCACACCTGTGGACAAGAGACTGGCGCCTGGAGTACCAAGAAGGCCATGTGCACAGCCAGCTGTGTATGCTTCCAGTCCTTCAGCTACTGCTATCCCCTCACTGACAGAGTTCAGACGAGGTTAGGGTTGAGCATGGGTTGCCATTGAATCCTGGGTTGTTACTGAAACGAGGGTTGTGCTGGTGAAACCTGGGTGTGATGACCAACTATGGTGAGCAAGCCACAGTCCACAAATCATGGGCTGTTCATAATTAACAAGCCATGGCTTGCCAGTGCAACTGGGCTAAGCCGACATAGTAAGCCATGATGAAACAGCAAGCTACGGTCTAGCAACAACCCAGATCAACACAGAGTGCAGGTTATTGTGTTTTGGTATCCGCTGCTGGAAATGGCTCGCTGGGTGGGATGCGCCTTTGGACCAGTCTATTCTTGATTAGCTTTCCTCCATCATATTTTGCTCTTTTTTATTCAATGTATTTGAATCACAATCCTTGGCAAGAAGACTGTGGGGAGGGCATAATTATAACCAGCGAAAGAAGGCAGGCCCTTGCAGGCTTACAGTCTCAAAAAGCACGACATCCATGGAAAAAGGAATGGGGAGGGAAGAGGGGAGGAAGTTAAATTTCCCAGCAGAGTTGCTGGAACGTCGCTGGGGAAAGATTAGGGCGAAAATCAAGTCCAGTGCTCACTGCAAAGCTCCACATCACTCACAATGTGAAAAAAGGAGTAAACGGCCTCTTCTTCCCCTCCTTGGCCTAGCCCCACTTCCGAGGTCTGAGGGCACCGCGAGAAGCTGCATGGCTGCTCCGGTCTGCCCAGCAACCTGCACAGGAGCTGGGCCCAGCCGAACAGTTGGTAACCTCCTGCAGCGGCCGCAAGAGCTGCGCCCCTTCCTCCTCTCCGGCCGTAGCTCGAGACACAGGAGCTGGGCCAGACCCGGGAAGGTGGCCGCATGAGACGCGGCGGCCCTTAGCAGAGGGACCCTTTCGGCAGCGGCGCCCGGCACGCCACGAGTTAAGGCGCCTCTCCCCGGCTGGAGTCGGTCAGGCTGGGCCACGCCCCCGGGATGTATTAACTTGTTCGGAGTGGCAAAAGTTCAGGCTCCGACAGCCCTGGTTGGCCTCTTGCGGGAGGGCGCTCCGCCCTCGGGGCACGCTAACTGGCTGGGCCGAGAAGGTGACACCGCCCCCTGGAGATCAGAGAGTGTCTCTGAATGAAAGAAATTCCGTAGCTCTCATTGGCCGCCTGCCGCAACTTTTATGCAACTTTCCGTGCCTCGCTGGCGCGCGCCCGCCCGCCGCCGCCGCAGCCTTGAATGGAGCGGCCGTGCGCCCAGCGGCGCGTGCAGGCGCCGAGAGCGCGGCCGAAGGCAGCGGCGCTTGCTCGCGAGGAAGCGCGCTGAGCCAGGCGGGGAAAGGGCCGTGCGGTGGAGGTGTGCGGACCTTCTCCGCCGAGGAAGCCAGGCGCTGGCTTGCCTCGGATCAGGCCCTCCCCGGCTCCCTCCGCATTTTGCACGGATCGGCCCCGGCGCAGGCTGCCCGTTTGCTGGCGCGTGAAGCCGGCCCGCGGGGGCGGTCGTTGCAGGGTGGGCGCGTCGCCGGGTGATGCTTGCACGCCTCCCGACGGGCGGGGGGCGCACGCAGCCAGTCCCCGCGGGAAGCCCCCTCCTCCGGGCTCGGGAGCGACTGCTGCAGCCAGGAGGCTCGCGCGGGGCAGAACGACCGAGATGTTCCGCCTCCGGCGCCACCCTCCGAAGGCGGAGAGTGGTCCCATTAAGCCGCCGAGCGGGCGCGGTACCGGGCGCTGGAAATTCGGGCCCAGGACAAAGCCACCTTTCGCGCGCGGCATACGCTAATTGCACGGGCGCTAAAGCTTCCGCGCTGGTGCATCTTTATATTCACCTGCCTCCTTAGGGCTCCCCTGTTTGTGGAAAGCGTTGCACGGGCAGGTCAAAGAAGGCAGGAGAGGAAAGGCTCGCGGTGGAGGGAGCAGCAGCAGCAGGTTAATCACGCGGTGCAAAAACCCGCGGGACTGGATGCAAATGCTCCTCGGGGTCCCCTTGGCAGCAGGCGGGTGGGCGGGCCCAGAGACGCCAGGCTCCGCGGGAAGGATCCAGGGTTCCAGCCTTAGCAGGCCAACTGCTGATTCTGCCTCCCGGGTACCTGCTCTGGGTGTCGTGGAATCAATCCACTGCCCAGCTCCGAGGGAAAGGGGCCAGGCCAGGTGGGAGCAGCGTGTCACAGAGAAAGGCAGTGCTCTTCAGTGCTAGCATTATTAATTTTCTATACCC